TCACGCTGAATTAAGCATTAGTGATAGCAGCTGGCAACGTGGTAAGGGCACAAAGGCCCGATTTAGGACCAGCATCCTTGGATTTGAGTTAAGGGTCTGACATGCAGCTGCTCTAGTCGGAAAATTAACTTAACCTCAGGTAACCTGGACTTCAGAGTCAGGTTCCAAGATGCAACCAAGAAAACTGACCTCTGTGGTTTCCAAAAAACTTACATCACTATGAACACAGGTGAAACTCTTAGATTCTGAGAGCCAGCAGTCATCTGAATAACCGTGATAACAGTCATTAAAAACACTCAAAATCTCCAAGTTGTATTAATATTCAATCAATGCCTTTAACTATCAAGTTCCTGCAATGTGTCAGAGACAGGGATCCAAGTTAATTCTCTGCACTGGAGAAGCTGTCTTAGTGCGCGCCTTCAAACAAAACCTTACAGGCAATATTCCAAGGTCATAATGGCTGCCAATAATAGTGACAACTATTGATTGTAAAGCCCAGAGATAGGCTTTACAATGTTATTAATACCTCATAAAATCCTCACCATGGCCTTCAGAGGCAGGTCAGGTACATACGCCTCATTTTAAGGATACAAAAATGAAAGCACCCAGAGCCATAACAACCTGTTTGAGGTCACAGAGAGGCAGCATCAAATGGCAGTCTGCACAACCCCGAAGTTGAACTTTTGCCACTGAGCTTTCAAGTGCTGTGGGTGGGAGTTGGTGGGCAGGCTGCCAGAGAGAAGGGACCACCAAGGGGATGCCGTATGAGCAGGGCCTTGTAAGGTAAGAGTTTGCAGCAAAACAGCTACTGCTTAAACCATGTGCCAGGGCTACGTTACATTCATCACTTATTTGATCCTGACAATGTTTCAAACCCCATGAAACAGGCTTCTTGTCTCCCCATTTTGTAGATGATGAAACAGGGCTGGCGAGGTTAAGTCACTTGAGATTATAGTCAATGACCTCATTGTTCCCTTCTCTGTGAGCAGATCCTACACACAGCCCCGCCCACTGTTAAGTGACCGAGGTCCCTCCCTGTAGGGTGAGCGACTTCAGTGTCAGCCCTGACCACATGTCTTGCTTTGGTCAGTGGAATGTGAGTGAACGTGACCTCCACAGGTCTGTGTGGATCAGCCTCTTATTCTTTCCCTTGGACAAAAGAGCAAGTCCTGCTTTGGGACTGCTCCTTCCACTTGGGTCCCAGACTGAGAGGTCCTGGAGCAGAACCGTGGCAATGAGCTGTGCCCCTGGACATGTCATGCGAGTGAAGACTATGTTTGTTAACGGAGTCACTAGGATTTGGGGATGTTTGTTACTAACACAGAGGTCTCAGTGGAGAGCAGTCAGGATGCTAACCTCAGTACCTGTCATTTAAATGCCATAAAATTCACCTGTTTGGTTTTTTTTTTCCACCTGTTTTAAGTATAAAGATTTTTAGTAAAGTGCAACTATCACCATAATGTAACTTTAGAACGTTATCATCATCCCAAAAAGAAGCCCAGTGGAGCTGTTTCTCATTCTCACCACCTCCAACACCACCGCCCCCCCGCCCCCACCATCCCTCAGGATTGTATGATAATGTAACCTTTGTGTTTGGCACAGAGTTATGGAAGTTCATCCATGTTGCAGCAGGTATCAGTACTCCACTTGTATTTATGCCAAACAGCACTTCATTGTATGGAAATATCAGACTTTGTCCATTCATCTGTTGATGCATATTTGGGTTGTTTCCACTTCCTGGCAATTATAAATAATACTGCTGTGAACATTCACATGAGTGTTTATGTGGATGTATGTTTTCACTTCCCTTGGGTAAGTACCTAGGAACTGAATGGCTGGGTCATACAGTAAATCTGCGTTTAACATTTTTAAGAAACTGCCCAACCATTTTCCAAAGTGGCCACATTATTTTACGTTCCTGCCTGCATATGTAAGGGTTCCAATTTCTCCTTATCCTTGCTAACACTCCTAATTGTCACATTTTTTTTAAATATAGCTGTTTCAGTGGTAATATGGTGGTATCTCATGGTGGTTTTAATCTGTATTCCCCTAATGGCTAGAGATGCTGATCATCTTTTTATGTGTATGTTGATTATTCCTATGCCTGCTTTGGTGAGGTGTCTGTTCAAATCTTTTACCCATTTTTTAACTGGGATATTTGTCTTCTTATTGAATTGTAAGAGTTCTTTATATATTCTGGATACAAGTTTCTTATTGTATGTCTGGTTTACAAATGCTTTTTTTCAGAAAAACAAATAGGATGGGTAACTATTTCAGAAATAAATAGTACTAGAACTGATACAACAAAGAAAAGTAGCCATAAAGACCAATAACAAAGAAAAAGTTTTAAATTACCTCCAAAAAGTTGCTTGACCTTGACCAACCCAACTCCAAGTCCTAAATTAGAATAAAAAGCACTAAGAATTTCAAAACATATAAAAAGCAGCAAGTTCCTCAACATGGTTTATGAGACACATACTGCTCTATGCTCAAACAACTACAATTTTTTACATAAGAGGAACAAGTCTCATCACTCAGACTGGGGTTAAAATTGTTTTTTACTCGATATTTGCTGGAAATTACTCACCACTATTTGAGTAACATTTCTCTTCAAACACATTAAAATCTTGGTGACTTGCAATGCTCTATGGGGATACATTACTAAAACATGAATTTTTAGCTTTTCCCATGAAATTTGAACTAAAGAAGAATGAAATTTGAAAAGCCCTGTCATTCAGAAGTTGGGTAGGTGGAGAGAGGGCAGTATATGGAGTGACTGCTATGCATTTTAACTGCAGATTTTTTGCATTTCCACTGTTAATAGTTGGTAAGGGAAAATTCTGATTAAGCTTCAGTGGTATCTCTTCCTACACAGGCTTCTTTCAGAGCAAGGCTGATTATTTCAAATTCTTCCTTCTTGACTGTACTCTGAGCTATTACTGTAAATGGCATATAAACCTCTGTGCATTTTTCTGTATGAACCTGCTAATGTGCACAACAGATCCACCCATCTTTGTTTTTTGTCTTTGTTTTTTTTACAATAAGAAGCAGTTAAGAAAGATAATGTGAAAAAGAAAGGAATTTTAAAGGTAGGGAGAAAAGATGAATGTCAGGCATTTGAAGAACTATAGGAAAATGGTAAACACTTTATTATACTTGAGAAATTCTTCTTGACATGTAAATGAAGTAGATCTGATCTTTGAAAAAGTGACTAGAAATCCAATCCATTTCCTCGCTGATCTCTGACAGGAATAGAGTGGGGTCCTGGGGAAGCCTGCCTAGTGGAGCTCTGGAACCCATCTCTTCCAGTCCGGTGAATCCACAGCCTTCCAACCCACCCTGGGACCACTTACACCACGGAGTTGACAAAGTAGTGTTCCAAGCCACTGGCTAAACTGGAAGAAAGAACTTTCACAGGTTGAAATTCCACCTTATAAGTACAAAGTGAATGAATAAAGGATTCCGCTGAGGATTTAAAAAAAAAAAAAAGAGGAACAAGTCCCCGAAGAATATTTTAGACCTTGGTTAGATCTGATAAATTTCATCTGGCTAAATACTGGGTTGGACCAATATTTATCCATAAGATGCTGCCAAAAAACACGAATGAACTTTCTGGCCAACCCAGGAAGTGGGCATAATATCCTTTAAGTGAAGACTATTTTATTTTTGCCTCACCAAACAGCTTGTGGGATTTTAGTTCTCTGACCAGGAATTGAACCTGGGTCCACAGCAGGGAAACCCCAAGTCTTAATGACTGGATCACCAGGGAATTCCCAATAATGAAGAATCTTGATACTGACATACGCTAACCTTTCAATAGTTACTAAAGACAAATTTCAGAGAGGTTCATTTATGAACTTCACACGTAAATAAACCAGAACTACATAAAAAGAACATTACTTCTTAGTAAATACTGTTGGGTTATTTATTAATAGCTATGAGCATGCAGACAAATTACAACACTGTAAGAAGTTCTAAACAAGTCTAAATTTTAAGCATATTTTAAAAACTATTGATATTTTAAAGTAGTAAAAAACCAAAGAATAGCACCTTCATTCCAGCAACAAGAAATATACGTTTCTGAATTCTGAAGAATTAACATACCATCATAAAAAAAAACAGAACATTCCAAGGTCCTGTTCAAATAGTACTGGTTCCATAAATTCCACCCTGATTCTCTGACCCCTCAATTTAAAAAAAAAAAGTGAGGGTAAATAATTGCTCTTTCCTGTGACCATCAGCCTATAAGCCTCACATTACTTGAACTGCCTTGATGGGCCTTATTACCTTCTCCACTGCATCACATTTAGTTCCTATTTTCTATGCCCATTCAAGTACAGCAGGTACTAAACCCTTAATACCTATATACCTTAATACCTGTAAGGTATTACCTATTAATACCTTAATACCTATAAGGTATTAAACCCTTATATAACATAGGTGTTTGAAAAATATTTCTTGAATTGATGTGTATCTGAATATTAAAAAAATGTTTCTGAAGATTATTTTCTAAAAACCAGAAAGTAGAAGAACAAAGACAATGATAAAATCTTACTTCCTCCAATATTACAAAGAATAAAAAATAAGGTTGACACCAGCTTTTAAATGGTAAATGATTAAGGGTGAGAAATAGATCCTATACACATGGGAAAATTCAGAAAATTATATCTTGTCTTTAACCTGATGTTGGTGGAGGAAACCAACAGGTCACTGTTAACTGGTGCCATCATCCAGAATGGAACGACTTGATGACAGGTGAGGGCCACCCCATGCTTTCAATCATAAATTCCACTTCAGGGAGAAGGCTCTCAAATGTCATCATTTCCTTACCCTCGTAGGCCTCCTCTCTGCTTTATTTAGAGCACTGATCATGGTCTAACTCTACATCCCTTAATTCTCAATTCTGTTGACTGTCTGTTTCCTCCCCTGGAATGTCAGTTCCAGGAGGGCAGAGACCTATTTTGTCATTGTCACACCCTCAGAAAGTGTTAGTCGCTCAGTCATATCCGACTCTTTGCGACCCCATGGACTGTAGCCTGCCAGGCTGCTCTGTCCATGGAATTTCCCAGGCAAGAATACTGGAGTGGGTTGCCATTCCCTTCTCCAGAGGATCTTCCTGACCCAGGGATCAAAGCCGGGTCGCCTACATTGCAGGCAGATTCTTTGTCATCTGAGTCACCAGGGAAGCCCCACACGCTCAGACAGTGCTCAATATATGCTGAATGGATGGATGTTCTAAGGAAGCAAGTACTTGCCCCAATCCCCAAACAGGCATAGTATATAGAATTCACAACAGCATAATTTAGAATTACAAAAATCAGAAGCCACAGGCCCAGAGAATAGCTATGCAAATTAGAAATTAGTGACACCATAAAATGTTAAGTAGCCATTAAACATTAGAAGTTTACTGAAAATATGTATGAACCAAGTGAAGAAATAGCATATCATGTAAAAAGTGTCCTGCAGTGCCTTACCCACTCAGAACTGCAGCTCATATGAAGCGTGTATAAATACTGATGTATTAATAAAAGAATCTCTTTAATAACTACTTTAAGTGACTTACACTTGTAATTTTAAAATATTCCAGCAAATGCCGTATTTTGAGAAGAAAAGCAGCTACCGTGTCAATGGAAAAACCTACACAATAGTCAGCACGACTTGAGGAGCAGGGCGATAATCTGTTCCCCTTTACAAAGCTCAAAAATGTTAACAGTAAGTTAAAAGTAAACACTGGTAATGAAAATTTCCTTAGTCCCTGCAAAGCAGTGTTATCTTTTTCATTTATTTTTTAAGGTTGAATTCTTCGTAGCATAACGTACATACAATAGAATGTACTCATTTTAAGAGAACAGGCTGAGGCGACCTTGACTGAGGGGCTGAGCGTGGCAAGTGGATCACAGTATGCTGGGCGGGGCACCCCGCCTACAGTCTTCACACGAGCGGGAGGCACTGGCTCCTCCTCAAGGTCCTCGCCTGCCTGGCAGCAAGAACATTCGTTCCTGGCCTCACCAAGGCCAAGCAAACCTGTGCCCCATGGGGGCCCAGTGTGGCCAAGCCCAGGGCATTGATGGCTTGGCCTCAATGGCATGCAGGGCCAGGTACCCAGCAACCACAGAAATAGGAGGAGCTAACCTTTGAACTGGGCGGAGCCTGCCTCTGGTTTCCATGAGGGTCAGCTGGCAATCTGTAGCCTAATCTAATCTGTAGCCTGCTCTATGGTGCTGAGGATGCTTCTAAACACCTCGAAGCCTGTTTCCTCACTGGACTGAAGAAGAAGAAAATATCCTTGCAGGATGAAGGTGAAAAGTAAATGTGACCATCCATGGGAAGCCACGAGGTGGGAGCTCACTGTGTACCAGCCACGCTTATCCTAGATGTCACCCTGGACACCTGCCATCCAGGACTGCCTCCTGGCTGGCACGTTCACACCCACTCCGGCTTTGAAAGTCACCGCAACCAAAACTGGGGAGTTGGGGCTAAAGCGTTATGTACGAGGAAGGCTCCAAAGGACCCCATTTCTGCTCGGTTGCTTTATCTTTCACCACCAAGAAACAGTCCCACCCAGGTAGCTTCAGCCACCCCTAAATCGGGTCACAGAACAGCAGGAGACATTCCTTTGGCGAAAAAGGACACGCTCTTGTCCTGGATCTTGTACTGGTACGTGAGGCTCCGATCCCGGTGGGCGGTGGGCTGCAATGGTCTTCTCCACAGGATCCTCAGCTAAGTGACAAAGAGAAGAATGAAGGAGGAGAGGCCCCCAAGTACCTGCTCCAGTGTGAACCCTGTCTGCTTCCTCGGTGACCTTCAGCTGAGGTCAAGTGCAATGCAGTAATGGGACCGACTTCTGAAACACAGCTTACTACCCATCACCTAAAAATAGAGGTTTCCCCTCCATTTCAATGGTAATATTTGCTCATCATGGAAAACATGAAAGACAAAGAAAAGTAGAAAACACTCATCCAGAAAAACACCATGAAAGTACTTTTGTGTACCCCCTTTGGTCTCCTCTGTGAGCATGGTTTTGTACTTTTGGGCTAGATGAACTTGGAAGGCCAGCGCACTAGGCTCAGGAGACTGGACCTCTGTCCTGGGTGACTGCGACGCTCTGCGGGGCTGAGCGGCTTCAGAGCCACGCGCTGCCAGGGGAAGGGTCTCTTGGGGTGTGCCTGGCGTACCACCAGCACAGCCTCTCTGAGCGTGCTCGGATGCTCTGTTTTCCATACCTGACTCTGAATGACTCTGGGCCAAAACCCCCACCCTCCCTTAATGGGTCAAAAGTGGTTAACACGAAGTTAACTGGAAGAGGTGGCAAAGGCTTTGGGGTGATCCCGAAAGAGAAGTTTCGGAAGGCAGAGAACCATGGCAGCCCCCGGGCATGGGGAGAACCTGACCTCCCTTCCAGGCACAGGCAGGACTCCGCGCTTCCCCCTAAGCTTCCCTGCGGAGGGGTTGGGGGATGGCAATAACGCCAGCCAGGAGAACAGCCTCCCAAGTCTCCATTTGAAAAGGAATGGTGTTGGCCTGAACACAGAGCCTGCTGTGATCCTGCGGTGGAATTCCACTCTTTACTGCCTTCCCCAGGAGATAGCCAGACAGTTGTCTCCTCTCCAGGATCTCCCCTATGGGTGCAAATGACCACTGTACAAAACCTGCCCTGGTGCACGGGGCCGAGAACCCCTGGAGCGGACTCTGATCTGCGTTCACACAACTTCCGAGGCCTCCCTCCCACTCGAGGGCATATCCCAGTTGACTACCCCAAGGCCCGACACTGTCCCGTGGGCAGTGGGGCGTGCAGAGGAGGTGAGCAGCTTCCGGTGAGCCAGGGCCCCACGCACCTGCCCGTGCACGTCCTTGCAGAAGCCGGTGGCCAGGCCCTCAGCCCGCAGGATCAGGTGGCTCTGGTGACTAAGGCCATTCAGCAGGACGTCACTCTCCTCGTCCTCGGCATCTCCACTGTCGTGTACAAGGGCCACAATGTTTCCCTGCAACAAGATGGAGGCTGATGGAGGGACGCCAGGCTCAAGACACACGGGTCTCTGGGAGCCTCCACTGCCCCGCACGCCCTCTCACGGGCCTGGGCTCGGGGCCCGGGCCTGCAACCGTCTGCTGGAACAGCTGCACCAGCACGTCCAGCCTGGATGTCCAGCTCGGTTCGTCCGCAAGCAAGGAAGAGCATCCAGTCGTGAAAAACAATAAAGCAGATCAGTGCGTTCTGTTTTGGGGGCGGTGGACAGCAAAACGCACACTGTGTGTTAGTAAATGAAAAGAAGTACCAAACTGTGTGGATGATGGGTTAACTCGGAACGTGAAAAAAAAAGCAGGGAGACAAGCGTACATACAAATGTGTTTATGACTGCTCAGACGCTCCGGAAGGACATATAAGGGAGGGAAGGAGAGACTTACTTTTTGCTAAAGTAGACTTTATACTGTTTATATCTTATTTTTTTCTTTAATAAGCTATTTTAATATTAAAACTTTAATTAAAATATTTAAAAACTTTATAATATAAAAATATTAAAATTTTAATATTAAACTATTACCAAGTTTTACTTTCTCAATTAAAATAAGTGTTTTTACAAAAAAGAAGTTGGTAGTGGGCCACATGGGGCTTCCCTGGTAGCTCAGCTGGTAAAGAATCCACCTGCAATGCTGGAGACCCCAGTCCAACTCCTGGGTCGGGAAGATCCCCTGGAGAAGGGATATGCTACCCACTCCAGTATTCTTGGGCTTCCCGGTGGCTCCGGTGGTAAAGAATCCACCTGCGATGTAGGAGACCTGGGTTTGATCCCTGAATTGGGAAGATTCCCCTGGACAAGGGAAGAGCTACCCACTCCAGTATTCTTGCCTGGAGAATCCCATGAACAGAGGAGCCTGGCGGGCTACACTCCATGGGGTCACACAGAGTCGGACACGACTGAGTGGCTGAACACAGCGCGGCGGGCCACACAGCAGGCTGAGCTGCACAGGCCTGCTGCACTCCTCCCCCAACCCCGCTGAACTGGGTCCTCCAGGCCCCTTACATGTCCCCCTCCTCCCGTTCTCTCCCCATTACCCTGCCGCCTGGCCCTGCAACCGTAGCAGGACGGCCTGAGAAGGTCCCCTAAATCCAGCTTCCGGGCAGGACCTTCCACGCAGGAGGTGTGTGGCATGCACCGCTGGATCCACACTCGCTGACTAACGCACGTCCCCCCCACCCCAGTCTGTGCCCAGTCTGGCCCTGTGGGACACATGCTCAGCTGATGTCCGCAAGCTCCCCCTCACTTAACTCTCTGGCAGTCTGGTTCCTGGGAGGTGGGTACCACAGGCGTTACTGTTTTGTTAAAATCTCTATTATGGCAAAGTCTCTATTTTTGCCTCGTAACTTAACAACGAAGGTTATACCCTATCCCTGCATGGCACCTCACAATTTTCATATTGTTGTTTTTGTTTTTGGACATGCTATGTGGCATGTGGGATCACAGTTCTCTGACCAGAGACTGACCCTGTGCCCCCTGCAGTGGAATCACAGAATCTTAACCACTGGACTGTCAGGGAAGTCCCTTCACCTCAAAATCCTTAAAGCAGTTTTATATCTATTATCTTAACTGACCTTCAAAACACACTCAGAGCGATACTGCCGTGTGGCAGAGCGGGAACAGACGCAGTACCCCACGTGGCCAACCCCATTACAGACAGGGCCAGGCACCCTTCAGATTTCAGGGTCTTACTTTTTAGCAATGGCAGGTAACAGAGTGCAGACTGCATGGAGTGAAGATTTCTGGGGCTGCCAGAGTAAAGAAAAAGCCCGAGCCATCAGACAGAAGAGCTAACTGCCAGTAAGCGGGCCCGTGGGGTTCACGGCAAGAGCTCGGGGTGCAGCCCCTGATTACCTTCCATTCCCGGCACACGGTGGCCCTGCAGTAGTGGACGAAGTCCAGCACCGCCACCGGCCCCGCGCCCATGCTCAGCAGCACGCTGAGGTCATCCACCAGCAGCACCGGGCACCTCCAGGAGGCCTCCCCACCATCCACGGGCTCCAGGGCGTCCCGCACAAACGCGTACAGCAGCTGCAGATCCCCGGCGCTGGCCTCCCTGGGCACAGGGCAGAGGTCACCGGAGAGCTCACAAGAGACAGCGCAGCACCACGGGGGGACGGGGCTGGCGGGGGATGGGGGAGGGAAGGAAGCGGGTCCAGTGCTTGGCACCAAGGGGCGCATGGGCTGCCTGGAAGGAAAAGGCACGCTCCCACGGGCATGTTTACTTCAGTTCAACTATTCCCTGAGGCCTGCTGGGTACAGAGCACTGTGCTAGAAACTCGGGGACACAGAAATAAACCTTCCCAGAAGCCCACACAGCCTCTCAGTCCAAGGGCCTAAGGCCTCTGCTTTAAAGGGAGAGGCCTTCCTGGGAGGTCATAACTGAGGATGAAAGCTCAGCAGCAGTTCACGCGTCTGGGTGCCGAGCGGCAGCCTGCGTGCTCGTGTTCGGACCAGGCCTGACCTACTGCTGTGCCAGCGGGTTCAGCTGGCCCCGCTACCTCCGCCTCCCCAGTGACTGCAGCAGCAGTCTCCCAGCAATGGGGGGGTGGGGAGCTGGGCTCAGAAATCAGGACCTGGGGCACAGGTACCGGCCTCACGGCCCCCCACTCCGGGGCCGAACCCCGTTAACAGCAGGTAGAATGATGCTCTCTATGTAATCTGGGCTCAGGGGGAGACCAGGCCCACCCGTTCAAAGACACCCGGCTTCAGAGACGGGACAGGCTGTGCGCAAGGCCACACACACGGCCTTTTTTTTCTTTTAACATTATTTATTGATTTGGCTACGCTGGGTCTTAGTTGCAGCATGCAGGATCTCTCATCTTCGTGGGCTCCTTAGCTTTCTATAGCTTCCAGGACAGGCACACAGCCTCTGGCAGAGGCGAGGACCTTGAGTGATGCTGCGACACCCGGGGAGCACCTGCCTTGTGCAGCCGGTTCGGCCCTCCCACTCCCCGGGGAGAGAGAAGTGGGTCACACGGAGACCCGGGGCAGGGCCCACCTGCCAGGTGTGCTCTGGGCTGGGCGGCGGGCTGACTGACCTGAGGAACTGCAGGGGGTGCAGCTGCTCCCGAGGCCGGAAGAAGACGTCCACCGCAGACCTGAGACCCTCGAGGACCACCAGCTGCCCGCGTTCCCGCGCTGCGGTCAGGCTCACACCCTGCAGCCGACCACGGAGAGGAGAGTGAGTTCAGCGCTGGTGGGGGCCGCAGCAGAGTGAACTTGGCACCAAGGAGCTCATGACGCCAGAACTCCAGCTCCTGGGAGGGCTTCGGGCCCGTTTGGAGCCCCGCAGACGTGTGTCTGGCTGGCCGACATAGGAGCCCAGGTCTTGTCTCCCCTGGGTGTCCCCCACACACAGCCCCTGTTCTATTGTCAGATGTGCATATACATGTACTTCTCACGTTTTCTTTAAAAAAAATTTTTTTTACTTTCTTCTTTTCTTATTTTGCTGCATTGGTCTTAGTTGTGGCACGCAGGCTCTTTCGCTGCGGCATGTGGGGTCTAGTTCCCTGACCAGGGATCGAACCCGGGCCCCTTTCATTGGGGACACAAAGTCTTAGCCACTGGACCACCAGGGAAATCTCAACTTGTCACATTTTTTAAAAAACTTACCTTCTTTTGCTTATATACTTATTTTTTACCTAGTACTGCTTTTTACTTTATGATAGTAATATAAAGCTGCCTTTTTAAGGGCATGTAGTTACAAAATAACATACATTTAAAAACAGAAAGTAAATAGTAAGCTGGTGGTGGGGTGACCGTCTCTGTTGCAACAGCTCAACTCTGCTCTCGTAGCAGCCACAGACCACTCAGACACAAATGGGGGTGGCTGTGGTCTAGTAAAACTTCACATACAGAAAAAACATGGGGTGCAAACTGTGGCTGGTCAACCCCTGTTCTCAATCAACGCTCCGTAAACATGGGTCTTCATGAACCACACAATTAAGAATCTCCTGAGGGCTTCCCTGGTGGCTGAGTGGTAAAGATCCGCCTGCTAACGCAGGAGATACGGGTTTGATCCATGATCTGGGAGGATCCCACATGTGTCAAGAGCAATTAAGCCCATGCACCACAACTGTGGAGCCCGTGCCCTAGAGCCTGGGAACTGGAACTACTGAAGCCCCCACGCCCTAGAGCCTGTGCTTCCCAACAAGTGAACCCACTGCAATGAGAAGCTCATGCACCACAGTAAGAGAAAAGCACCCGCAGCAATGAAGATCCAACATAACCAAAAATTAAAAAATAGAAAAAAAAGAATCTCCTGAGATACCTGATTAAAATGCAGATCTCTGGGCCCCACTCCAGAGCTCCATAACTAGAAGCCTTAGAAGCAGGGTCTGGGAATCTGCATTTCAACAAACACCCCGTGATGGTGACACTGTCCAGACATGCAACCCGAGGTTCCGCAGAATTAGCAGGTGACACAGAACTCCTTAGACTCCTCGTGTCCCCAGACCAGGCCTTGATCACTCAGTCACACACTGGTGTTCACTGTGCACCAACAGCACCAACTGCAGGCCGGGCAGACAGAAGGACTCCTGACCGTCTCCTCTGCTCTTACTCATTACTATTGTACTGATGTAAGAACAATTCTACAGCAAGAGGATGGAATCTCACGCTCTAGTGCTTGGCACACCCAGAGCTGTGCAGTCATTCCTGCCATGCTGGTGAGTCAAAGGTAACAGGAAAAGCGGCCAAACCGGATATGAGAATACACCTTTCTCATCCTAGCTCACAGATGCCAGGGCCACATGCATGCCTCACCGACCTGGAATGCAACCTGTGTTCCTGGCACGACTGTGCTTCCTGAGCTCGTGCTCTGACCTCTAGCACGGGAACTTCTCCCTTCCCTGCAAAGGATGGGAAAGAAAGGGCCTTCCCCCTCTTGCCCTCTCACTGGTTTCCCCCCATCAGAGAAGAGGACTGACAGTAAGACTGTCATTTCAAAGATCACTGCTGATGGGTAGCCTGGTTCTCTCCTGCTCTGAGTCTGACTTAAACCAAAAACACATAACAACAAGAGCCCCAGAAATTCACCTGGTCACAGGTCACAAGTAATGTGCCAGGTGAGGCGCCAGGAGGGTCACCAGCCTCTCAGCCATCTTACTCTCGCTTGGCTGCATTTAGTAAGATGAGGGGCAAACCAGGAGGTGCGGGGCCCGTGACAAAAGCCCTCGGCTAAGGGAGAGGCAGTGGGAGGCGCTCAGCTGGGATCGCTAACCCGCTGGGGACGAGACTAACGTTCACACCGAAGGAAGAAACCTTAACCGTCCAGGCTTGGCAGAGAAGGGTTTGACTTAATCCATAACAGGTCTGCTTCTATACACTTGACAAATGAACGAAACACGCAGAGAGGCTGCCCTCGCCCTTCAGATACAGGGTTTAGGATCCCATGATTTCCTCAGACCCCCCCTTTCTAAGTTCTCTGCAACCCAAACAGGGCCCAGCCTGTCAGCATACATATGCCTGGCACACACACTCACTCAGGGATCTCATCACAGAGGTCTAAAATACTCACCAGCTTCTGCCCCACGATATTATAGTGACTGAAGGACTGGACGAGGGCCACAAAGCAGACTTTACAATTAGCTGGAAAACAAAATAAACTGATTTTTAACCAAGTCTCTATTTACAACCAGTCTCAGATACTTCTTGCCTCTGGAAACAAAAGAACTGAGGCAGATCTGGAGAACCCACACCTTGGAACCTGACATACTCAACTTGATTTGAAGATGTACTTTTTTCATATTAATAATTATACTTTATATTGGTAATTTTATCTTATTTCATTGATTCTGAGATGTACTCTACCTGTGAGATGTATCACTTGGAACCTTAGTTTGTTCCCCTGAAAATCATTATAGTTTTAAAAAAGCTGTATTTTTCTAACTACTGGTTGGTTACAGAGATTCAACTGAATTTTTAAACTAGTCTAACACCCAAGAGGATATAAGAAGAACACAAAGAAACTCTAGCTACCTTATGAACTTAATTAATTCTAATAACCTGTCTGTAGATGCTCTTACTCTGTATAAGCTGACAATAACATCATCTAGAAAGGAAAATAACTTTCAAAGCTGTAAATTATTACAACTCAGAGTGCCAAAGGTCAACCTTATATCCTGGCCTGGCTCAATGGGGACTCAAGGAGAATCTGTCTTTTTTTTTTTTAATTTGGCTGTTTTCTTCTAATCGATTTCCATATGTGAACTGCACAGCTGTTTTTTTTCCCCCTCTCTGTTCCTTTGGAAGCATCTACTGCCAGGGCAAAGTGGTAATGGGTTGTGTGCCCAGAGACTTCAAACTACCCAAGAACCAAGGATCAACTAAATGAAGAGGCCACACAAGGCCCTAAGGGAGTCAGTGCCTGCACATGGGGTGGAGAAGTGGAAGGCAATACTGGATATAGTGAATACATGGCAGTCTCTGGCATAGAAGGGGTGGGAACAAGATGGTCCAGTAATCCCATTACCTAACAAATAGCCATCTGGTTACCCAAACACCAAAGGCCTGGCTAGTTAATATTATTTCTAGTGCTACCTGAAACAGGCCTTTTTTTTTTTTACCCCCTGGCCTTGGGTTTTCTTTTTCTACAGTCTTATACCTTTGAGGTAGAAAGACAGAAAGTGGTGCACAAGGAAACTGCCATCAGTCTTGGCATCACAGAGTAGAGTCAGCTTCCCCTAAAAGTTAAGAGCACAAAAAGATGTATTAGACTCCCTGGAAAGAGGTCAACTGAGTGTCAAAATCTAGTGGATTGTCTCTACTCTTAAATTTCTATACCTGGAGACTCATATATGTGTGTTTGTGTATTTAACCAGAAAAAGAAAATAGGTAAAAATTATAGAAAAACCAACAATGAAAGTGATCTGTATTAAACGCACTTATTTTGGGCAAGCATATCTCAAGCTATCATCTTCCCCAGGCAATGGAGAATAAAATCTCTTCTTTTCCTCACTCCTCTCCAGTCTTGGAAAGAATTAAATCCTGAACAAAGTAAGATTTTACCATCAGAACCCAACAAAAATCACTGACTTTCCAGATTGCAAGGAGTCTTCTAAAAGGTCATCTGATCCAACATCCTCCCTAACTCTAATCCTCATGCCAATTCTGTCCCATAGGCAGGGGAGAAGGAGAAAGCAGTTGTTCTAAGAGACAGCCAGGATCAAAGTCCTCTTCCCAGTGGCCTTGGAAACTGCGTCAGGCAGGGCTCTCACTGTGTAGAGCCCTGGAAAAACCTCTGAAGATGGCTTCTGCAGGGTCTGGCTGTCCTGCTCCAGTCACCCTTTGTTCCTTGTCAATGACAGGGAAGGTCATCTCTCTCTCTCTGCTGTCGTGATATTTTTTCCTCTCGTAAAATATGACTCTGAGGGTTACCCCTGGCGCTGTCATTTCCGGGTGCCCACTTCTATCCCTCACTGTGGCCCTGGGTTTGGACTTTGGAGGTCCTAGTAGTAACTGGCAAGGTACGCAGCGCCATCTGGAGGCTTGGCCGGAGAAAAACTGCGGGGCCGCTGAAGTGCACAAGGATTTACTGAAAACTATTTGCCTGGGACTATGGAGTAACAAAAAGGCTTTACACACGAAGTGTCTTGGCTGCCTGGACGAGCTTACCATTTCATCAGAAAGACAGGAGTTATGAAATAAATCACCTATGTTCCTAGGAGAGGCAACCCTCGGCCTAACGCATGAACATTTTTGGGATGCTCTAGACAGTGGGAAGGAGAGAGCGAAGAAAACAGAGTAGGGAGGCTGTGGCGCCAAAGGCGGGCTTGCGCAATCAAACGTTGGCTGCGAGAAGCTTCAGAGAGCACTGTTCAAAAACATAAGGAGGAAGACGAGCAGAAGCTTTCGCTGAAACCTGCCAAGTGCTCCCAGGACAAAGGGGGCTTAAGGTCGTTAAGAAGTTGCTCCCTTGTGATGGGGGGCGGGGGGGGGGGGTGGTTTCCAGGTGGCTCAGTGGTCAAGAATCCGCCCGTTAAGGCAGGAGACGCGGGAGACGCAGTTCCATCCCTGGAGAAGGAATGGTAATCCACTCCAGTATTCTTCCCTGGAGAATCCCACGGACAGAGACTGGCGGGCTACGGCCCATGAGGTCGCAAGGAGTCGGACACGACAGAGTGACTACACTACCACCACCAACCTCTGTTTGGGCGCTGGGACTCGCACCACGCTGAACACGCACAAGGGTCGCCTGTACACTTAAGTCCAACCCAAAGGTACAACGTGCTTCCTGTGGTCTTTCAAGGTCGCACGAGACCTTCGAAAACGCTCAGGATGCCCACCTTGCGCAAGCCTAAGTGTCCAGCCCAACCTCGGGGGCGGGCCCTCTGCGGACTACAACTCCCAAGCGCCCCCGGGCCACGGACGTCACGTGATTTCCCACAGGTCCGCGTGCGCTTCATCCGGGTGTGCGGCCTTCCGCCGCGCTCCCAGAATCCAACCTCCTCCCCGACCATGCCGACCTCTTACCTGCTCCGCCCCTTCAGGGCTGGTGTTGAGAAGGTTGTTGAGTTCTGGGTACATTCCGAGCTCCAGAACGCACGGGGGTCCCGGATGGGAAGATGAGCTGCCGCGGATACAGCGGAGGCTGGAGAGCAAAACCCACCACACAGGACCACGCGGGAGGAGTGCGCATGCGCAATTCACCTGCTTAGGCGCCGGCCGCAGCCAATGAAACGCGCGGATCGGAGCGGGACGCTCTCGGCGCATGCGCAGAGACGCGCACCAGGCCCGGGAGCCTGGGTACTGAGCAGTGCGGGATTCTTACCTGCCTTCCACTCGCAGAGGGTTTCCCCCGACCAAGACATCAGGAGGTCGGGTCTCTTCTTCCTTCCCTCGACCGTGCGTTCTTCTCATCCCAGAGCCTCCTTTCAAGCTCCTGCGGTGTGCCCCACACTACTAAAGGCTCTGGCTGCAATGGGCGAACCAGACAGGCGAAGACGCCCGCTCTCGCACAAAACAGAGAACAGACGTAATAAACATGGAATAATAAATTGAAAAATTCTATGTGGGGGGGGGGGGATGAAACTGGATAAAGGGATAACGATGGGATGGGGGTAGGTTTTGGAATAAAACAGGTTAGCAGGTAGGGTCACTGACCAAGTAGGATTGGAACACACCCTGCATGCTTCTTGAGATTTTTGCGCTGTTTCCCCTCCCTGGACTGCAGCTGTTAAAAAAAAAACCACTCCACTTCTTTCAGGTCTTTGTTCACATGTCAGTTTATCAGCATCCGCTGGATCATCGAAAAAGCAAGAGAGTTCCAGAAAAACATCTACTTCTGCTTTATGGACTACACCAAAGCCTTTGACTGTGTGGATCACAATAAACTGTGGAAAATTCTGGAAGAGATGGGAATACCAGACCACCTGACCTGCCTCTTGAGAAATCTGTAAGCAGGTCAGGAAGCAACAGATAGAACTGGACATGGTTCCAAATAGGAAAAGGAGTACATCAAGGCTGTATATTGTCACCCTGCTTATTTAGCTTATATGTAGAGTACATCATGATAAACGCTGGGTTGGATGAAGCACAAGCTAGAATGAAGATGGCCAGGAGAAATAATAGCCTCAGATATGCTGATGACACCACTCTTTTTTTTTTTTTTTTTCAAATTGTACATATTTTGCTATGAATATATTCATGTCTGCAATTTACAAATGGAACAATTTTCTTTTACAAGATAGTGATATACATGAGATGGAGTTCCAATGCGATATTTCTATAGTCAAACAAACATTTGTGCATGTTTCCATTCATTTACTTTTACAAATGAAAGTGACAAAATAATCTTATGTCCTTGATGATGTCAACTCTAGTGCTTTGAACTGGCAGCTCCTTCTGCAGTATGTATAGATTCTCTTTGCTGTTTTCAACCTCATAGGCGCCTCTTTAAGCCACTGAGTTCGACCTTAGTCTGTCATTTTTTTTTTATTTTTTTTTTTATTTTTTATCACAACCATAGTGTATCTTTTTTTTTTTTTTTTTTACATGTATTCCCCATCCCGGTCCCCCCTCCCACCTCCCTCTCCACCCAATCCCTCTGGGTCTTCCCAGTGCACCAGGTCCGAGCACTTGTCTCATGCACCCAACCTGGGCTGGTGAACTGTTTCACCCTAGATAATATACGTGCTTCAATGCTGTTCTCTTGAAACATCCCACCCTCGCCTTCTCCCAGAGTCCACAAGTCTGTTCTATACATAGGAGTCTCTTTTTCTGTTTTGCACATAGGGTTATCGTTACCATCTTTCTAAATTCCATATATATGTGTTAGTATACTGTAATGGTCTTTATCTTTCTGGCTTACTTTGCTCTGTATAATGGGCTCCAGTTTCATCCATCTCATTAGAACTGATTCAAATGAATTCTTTTTAATGGCTGAGTAATATTCCATGGTGTATATGTACCACAGCTTCCTCATCCATTCGTCTGCTGATGGGCATCTAGGTTGCTTCCATGTCCTGGCTATTATAAACAGTGCTGCGATGAACATTGGGGTGCACGTGTCTCTTTCAGATCTGGTTTCCTCGGTGTGTATGCCCAGAAGTGGGATTGCTGGGTCATATGGCAGTTCTATTTCCAGCTTTTTAAGAAATCTCCACACTGTTTTCCATAGTGGCTGTACTAATTTGCATTCCCACCAACAGTGTAAGAGGGTTCCCTTTTCTCCACACCCTCTCCAGCATTTATTGCTTGTAGACTTTTGGATAGCAGCCATCCTGACTGGTGTGTAATGGTACCTCATTGTGGTTTTGATTTGCATTTCTCTGATAATGAGTGATGTTGAGCATCTTTTCATGTGTTTGTTAGCCATCTGTATGTCTTCCTTGGAGAAATGTCTGTTCAGTTCTTTGGCCCATTTTTTGATTGGGTCATTTATTTTTCTGGAGTTGAGCTGGAGGAGTTGCTTGTATATTTTTGAGATTAATCCTTTGTCTGTTGCTTCGTTTGCTATTATTTTCTCCCAATCTGAGGGCTGTCTTTTCACCTTGCTTATAGTTTCCTTTGTTGTGCAAAAGCTTTTAAGTTTCATTAGGTCCCATTTGTTTATTTTTGCTTTTATTTCTAAAATTCTGGGATGTGGGTCATAGAGGATCCTGCTGTGATTTATGTCAGAGAGTGAGATGACACCACTCTTATGGCAGAAAGTGAAGAAGAACTAAAGAGCCTCTTGATGAAAGTGAAAGAGGAGAGTGAAAAAGTTGGCTCAAACCTCAACACTCAGAAAACTAAGATCATGGCATCTGGTCCCATCACTTCATGGCAAATAGATGGGGAAACAGTGGAAGACTTAATTTTGGGGGGCTCCAAAATCACTGCAGTTGGTGACTGCAGCCATGAAATTAAAAGACACTCCTTGGAAGGAAAGTTATGACCAACCTAGACAGCATATTAAAAAGCAGAGACCTTACTTTGCCAACAAAGGTCTGTCTAGTCAAAACTCCAACCAGTCCATCCTAAAGGAGATCAGTCCTGAGTGTTCATTGGAAGGAGTGATGTTGAAGCTGAAACCCCAATACTTTGGCCACCTGATGTGACGAGCTGACTCATTTGAAAAGACCCAGATGCTGGGAAAGATTGAAGGCGGGAGGAGAAGGGGACGATAGAGGATGAGATGGTTGGATGGCATCACCGACTCAATGGGCATGAGTTTGGGTAGACTCCAGGAGTTGATGATGGACAGGGAGGCCTGGTGGGCTGCATTCCACGGGGTCACAAAGAGTCAGGCACAACTGAGCAATTGAACTGAACTGAATTTCTCTAAGCATCCTATTTAAGTTCTTAACTGTCCCTTCCCCAGCAATTCTTGTCCTCCCCCCCCCACTCTTTTATTTTTCTCTGTATCATTTATATCTAGATCTAGTGAAGGACAGGGAACCTGATGTGCTGCAGACTGAGCGACTGAACAAGTTATCAGAGTGAGGCGCGAGGAAGTGCTGCCCCCTTGTGGACACGTCGCAGAATAACTTGACAACCACTGCAGCTTAATCTGCAACAAGGCAGGCGTGCTCAGTCATGGCCACCTGTTTGTGATCTGCATGGAGCATAGCCCGCCAGGCCTCTCTCTTTACAATTTCCCAGGCAGCAATACTGGAGAAGGTTGCCATTTCCTCCTCCAGGGGATTTTCCTGACCCCAGGGATAGAACCTGCGTCTCCCACACGTCTCCCGCATTTCCAGCATTGCAGGCGGATTCTTTACCACTGAGCCTCCAAGAAAGCCCGCTGCAGTTGAAGGGCACTTCTTATTCACAAAGCCTGCGGGGCTGTAAAGGCCATCTGCCCTCAAGAAATGTCAAAAGACAGGGAATCGATAAAGAATTCAAAAGAAGGCAGACTTGGGACTTCTCTTGTGGTCCAAACGTTAGGAATTCGCCTTCGAATGCACTGGACACCTGGTCGACCCCTGGTCCAGGAACTAAGATCCCACATGCCATGGGGCTACTAAGCCCACTCTAAGACCTGACCTAGCCAAACAAATGAGTAAATGTTTTAAAAAACAGAGCTGACTTTCAAGAATCCAATTGCAAGAGGGAAACTACACTCACATTGTTTAATACAAAAGCACAGGATAACATGCTCCGCATTGCTAATTATTTAAGAAATGTAAGTGAAACTGACAACTGGATGTCTTCTCCAACCAAACAGAAATAGCCACCTGCAAAAATCTACAAAAATCAATATGAGAGGGGCATGGAGAAAAGGAAATCTTCCCTCCTGTGCCTGTGTGGGAATGTAAATAGCTGGACAGGCGCTATGGAAGCACCATAGGAAAGGAAAACCAGAGCTACATTGAGATCCTGCAGTTCCACTTCTGGGCCTATTTGGATGAAACCATCATTCAAAAAGTCACATGTACTCCAAGGAGCACTGCAGCACTATTTACAATACCAGGACAGGGAAGTCACCAAAATGCCCAATGACACAGGAATGGAGAAAGGAGATAGAGCCCATATTTACAATGCAATATTACTCAGTCATAGAAAAGGGTGAAATAATGCCATTTGCAGCAACAACGAGGGACCTCGACATGATTATACAAAGTTAACTAAGTCAGAGAGAAAAAAAAAATCATGTTACCATTTATGTGTGGATTTGAAAATCTGATAAAAATTTAACTTATTTACAAGTAGGAACAGACCGACAGTCCTAGAAAACAAACTTATGATTACCCAGGGGCAAGGGGAGTGAGGAGCAGTAAGTTAGAAGGTTGGCATTCACAGATACACAGTTATATATGTGTGTATATATATGTACACACACACATATATACATATATCGACAGGGAAGCCTAGCAGTGCTGCAGTCCATGGAATCGCAAAGAGGCGGACATGACTGAGCAACTGAACTGAACTTATATATATATTCACATATAAAATAGACAGTCACCTGGGATCTACTGTGAGCACAGGAAGTCTACACAACATTGGCCAATAACCTGAACGGGAAAAGAATCCATAAAAGAACAGCTCTCTGTATATATAAAAATGTGTCACCTTGCTGTACATTTAAAAACAAACAAAAC